TGTAGCAGTGCAGTGGTCGAGATGGGCCTACTCTTCAGCAAGGTCTGGACGCGCATGCTTGGATCGAAGGAAATGCGAATCCTCATGTTGGGCCTGGATGCAGCCGGCAAGACCACTATCCTTTACAGACTGAAGCTGTCGGAGGTCGTGACAACGATCCCTACGGTGGGGTTTCTCGGGAGCAGATGGCTTCTCCTAAACCCAAGAAGATTTGAAAAAGGAGCTTCCTGGCTCCATGGTGCTGTTCAGGATCCCACTTCGCTTCGCACAACCAAGGTTCAATGTTGAGACGGTTGAGAGCTTTGGCAGCACTGGCAAACACAGTTGAGCTTGATGCTGGAGCGTCAGGGTATCGGTTTTCTCATTCTCGATGCTTACCTCCAGCAGCAGGTACAAGAACATCAGTCTGACCATCTGGGATGTTGGAGGCGAGGTGCATCAGTCTTTCTTTACATACGGGTTGAGTTGTGTATGTCCACGGCGGCTGCTGACCAAGCTACCTACGAACACGAACTCGACAGAGGCTAGTTGGGAAGCCACTCCCCCTGAGTTTCTGTGTTTCGGTATGATTGGGACGGGAAGTCGGGGCTTGCAATGCTGTGCGTGCCCCGTGGAAGGCCAGGACAAGATCCGCAGGCTGTGGCGCCACTACTACCAGGGCACTGACGGCTTGATCTTTGTGGTAGACAGCTCTGATCGTGATCGCATCAATGATGCGCGGGATGAGCTGCAGCACATGCTGGGCGAGCCAGAGATGGAGAAGGCAGCTCTGCTGGTGCTGGCGAATAAGCAGGACCTTCCTAACGCAATGTCCGCGAGCGACGTCATGCACGCACTGGAGCTGCAGAAGATGCAGCATCGTAAGTGGTTCATACAGGCGACCTCAGCCCCGACAGGGGATGGCCTGTATGAGGGCTTGGACTGGCTTTCCCGCGCCCTATGCTCGAAGTGACCGTGCAACACCCGGCCTTGCTGTGACTACCAACTTGTAAGCTAAGTTGTGTGCAAGATGTATAGACGATTTTGAGGGCCTTTGCAGCCTCGCTGCGAGCAGTGAGGGTGGCCCCCGTGGTTCCAACAGTGGACCCCTTCCTCCAAAGCGGCCGTGGTGTACAGACGGACGTGCTTTGGGCATGCAGAGGAGATAGAGGAGCGATTGCCATCTCGACTGCCATGTGAGAAGTCTTTCAGCTAGAAGCCTAGTGACTAGTGCCTTTTATATGCGAGTTGAAGCGCTGCACGCCGACGCCACTGAGCTGCTGTTGGAGGCCGAGTGGCAACGAGTTCTGCAAAGCCTCTGGGAAGCCAGGCGACCTGAGATGGAGGAGGCTGTGTCTTCTCAGTCGAGTTGAACTTACGCCTGGCATCATGTGTGCCTCACGTTAGTTGCTACAGCAACCTGACTTGCCGACTATGCGTTCCAGCTCAATTTGCGGAAACATGACAACAGTGTCGTGAACGGGCACTGGTATATGTCGACCACCTTCAAGCAGCTTGGATTAGGCCCTAATTAGGCACTTGCCTGTTTCACGGTCGCAAGAGACCCGCCTGAAAGCACTTCCCCACCCAACTTGTAACGTCCCAGCCGGGCCATGGCCTTTGTGACTCTTCAGGCTCAGGCTTCTCAGGCTCCGATCCAGGAACGGTTTGTGTCGGCGCCTCCACCGGCGCTGCAAGCTCCGCGCACATCGCACCCCCAGCGAACATCGCAAGGGTCGCGAGCGTTACTCGTGAGCGCTGCCGTGGCTCCAGCTGTGGCCGAGGCCTCCTGACTAGCACATGACGCCGCACCTGCGGAGTAAGGTAAGCACGCTTCACTTCACACTTTCTGACACCCTACCGCGAGGATTCATGTCGCCGCAAGCAATGCAACCCTGTGCTCAGGTTCTGCAGCGAAGGTCCAAGCATGGCCCAGCCCGGCTCTTAGTTTAGGGCTTGAGGCTCATTGGATGAGTGCACTTTTTGTGGTCCACTTGTCAGGTAGAGTGAGCCTTTCGTGACAGGGCCAAGACCGAAGCCAGTTGCGACAGGAGCATGGTCATCTGACGATATCTGATGCATACAATATATAGAGACTGCCGACATCACATGATTATCAACTTCATGATGTGTGCAAACTGGTGTGCGGAATGCTTGGGACTGAGGTGAGGAATCGGCACAGCCAGAAACATCGCTCGCCTCAATCTCGCCGTTCAGTTCGTGCCTTCTGCGCCAGCTCTCCCATTGATAGGCACCTCTCCTCAAGCCCTGGAAGTGTGATGATCGTGAACTGCGACTGGAAGCCCTGCCCGTCTTGACTGTTTGAGTACGTGTCAATGTGCCCGCACGCAGGTTCGATGAACTGGATACGAGCCTCGATGTCGACTATTCACGATTAGAGACTGAGGACGGCAGTTGCTCAGTAGCTGAACTGTACCATGCTGCAAGGAATGGCGACGGATTCCTTTCCCGGGCGGAGTATTTGGCAGGACAGAGAAACCAAGCAAAAGACCGAGAGGCGCTTACTGCGACTTCATCGCCAGCATAACGACTGCTCTTATCCTGATGAGCATTGAGGCAACGACTGGCAGCCGTGCGATGAGCTTAATCTGCTGCTCTGCAGGCGATGCGATCTCAAACAATGTCATCGATGGGCATGGTGCTTGAAGACAAGCTGGAGGCATTCAAAGGCTATCTGATTTTCTCAGAGGAAACTGGGCCGTTGCCATATCGAGTGACAGCAGCAAGGCCTGTGTTGGCAGAAGTGTTGGGGTTAAGTTAGGTGAAGGTTCTCTCCAGATTCAACCCACTTCCAGTTGTCCGCTTCCTTTGCTGACTGCAGTGTCGAGAGCTGTCCCATGTGAAGCCTAGGAGAGCTTTTTCGTTGCTTTGGGAACATTGTGCTTTGTGACGCGCGTGGTTTCTCCGGGCATCGCAGGCTGTGGATGCCAGAGTTTGCAAAGGGAATGAGCTGCCTGACAGTCGTGTCTCAACATGGTGCAGGTAATTTCTTTCTCCAGGAAGTCGAAGACTTTGTCAATGTATCGTTCTTTGTCAAGTTTTTGCTTCTGTTCTGGCTGCATGGCGCTGATTAGCAAGCATTGCTTCTTCGTGCAAGAACCCGGGGTCTCAACTGCTAACATGCCAGTCGGAGCACACTAAGGATTAATGAGTTCAACATCTCCTGGCTCTTCACGGGAAAGGGAGTGTTAGATCTGGCGAGCAGCTTGCCAGTGCTTTGTATTCCGGCGCGGCTGATAGGTGCCTTGCATGAGTTCAGCGGCTAGCAGGCTGCTTGAGACACGATGTCATCTGCAACAGCCATGTCGTGGAGGCGGTCCCGCACTCGAGAGGACGACGGATTTGCTGCAAATCGGCAGGTTCCTCCGTGTCTTGGCTGCCTCAATCGCGGCAAGTATCCTGAACCTGATGAATCTATCACCCGGGCCTTCACAATTGGCCATGCCGCCTCGCGACATGAGTTGAGATGAGGTTTGCTTCGCGTGGCGCTGCCTTCAGACAGGGATGCTGGCCCTGGTGGTATAGTGATGAGGACGTGCGGGAATACTTTCACAAGGGTTCTATCTCCCATTGCTCGCACATGTGTGAGTGATAGTGAGTGGAAGGGATGTTGACGGAGGTTTCTAAGGGGCTTGACTTAGCAACCAACGTTGAGGACTGTTCCCGTGAGTCAGCAGATCATCGCCGTCTTGCTCTCCTTGCTGGGTACTGTCGTTGTTTCCGCCACTGTCTTGTACGCGTTTGAGAATCCCGACACAGATATGGAGGTGGCAGAGACCTGATTCAATTAAAGCTTGTGTCGCCGTTCCGACGGTAACCGCGAGAAGCTGTCGAGGAGCGCACCTTTGAAGATGCTCTTATCTACATGGTCAACATCTTTGCGGGTCGCGATCCACCATGGTATCCGCTGAATCCACAGGCAAAGATTGCCTCTGTGGTGGCCACGACTTCAGGGATAATCTTCATTCCCTTCCTGGTGGCAAGATCAGTCGAGCTCTTCATGAAGAGCGACGATCAAGCGGCTGTAAGTGCTGTCGGTACGGTATTGGCTCCAGGAGGTGCCTTGAGTGGGCACCAGCATTGCATGATCTCTTTGCTCCCATGAAGCCTTAGAGGTTTGTGTTCGTGATGCTCGCTTCTGTGTCAAGGCAGCGATGTCAGCAGCTGGGCGGAAGTCTTGGAGTGTTTAGACGTCGTTGAGCAGCAAGGCTTCCTCGAAAAGGAGGAGATGAGGCACCGTCGCATTGTGTAAACTGCAGAGACGAGGGGGGGGGAGACTAATTGAACAAATGTGCCACGTGCAAGGCAACTTCGTCTGATGTGCCTGGACAGGGACGACCGCCTGGCCATTCTGCACACCTGCTACTCGAAGAGAGCAAAGGAGAAGAGAAACCTGAAGCTTTACGCTTGCCGCTTGCGAGAATTACTTCAGATCGTTTAACTAACGACCCTAGCCTGTACAAAGATTCTCAGGCCGGTGCAGGTTGCCATCGGGTGGCCCAGGCCGTGTTGTGTACAGAGGTCTAGTCGCGGAAGTCCAAATGTTTTCTCAGCCGCTGGATATAGGGGCCCCAATCTGGAGTAGGCATCTGGAAACTCTGGAAAGCACTCAGCCACTGGATGCAGATCTCAACCTCCTGAACTCTGCTCGTAGGCCCTGCCTCAAACTTCGTCGTGCGTCTCAGGGATTCGTGTCAATGTGGCAGTTGACAATATTGGGAATCAGGGATTGTGCTACACTGGAACTGCAGCTCGTTTCCGTGCAAGAGAAGCCTTCTCCAGATTTCCGCGGCGAGTCTGCCGCCACCTGCGTCCAGTTTTCCACCGGCCTAACACTGAGCCGTGCGGCTGTCATATCACTCAATCCCTGAAGTTGAAGCTTCATAGCACTTGAACGTTGCGTGGCAACGTGTTTATCTCGAAAAGCACCCGAATCTGGTGTGGAGGCTCACCTGGGTCGGACGGCTCTGCAGAGCCCCTCTCTGGGCTGGACTGCTGTCACGAGCGAAAATGTTCCTACCCAAACTTAGTTGATGCAGACCTCATGCCGTACATAATGCAGTTCCACCCCTCACAGGGACGAGTTCAGACAAAAAAGCTCGTTATTGAGCTGGATCTTCTCGATGAGACTGAGATGCCAGAACGTAGCAGGCGCCGAGCCTGGCGGAAACCGCTCGCCAACGATTCCACGAAGGACGGGACTGAATTGGGCAACATGCCTGAGTCTTTGTTTCGGGGGATCTGGCTATATCCTATTACACTCGGTGCTCCACAAAATGCTTGACTGCTTCTCTCTCACACATGTACACGCACAAACCGCTTTGAAGCAGTTCCATTCTTGCCATTTGACACCTTCAATGTTGAAGCAGATGCATGGGGGGGCTGCTAACCGCAGATTCTTGAATGAAGTTTGACAGGAGTCAACTGCAGGCCTGGTTGCGTGTCGTGCTGTGTGCACAATCTGCTGTGCCAGCTTGCTGGCACATTTGGAAGTGATGTATTTTTCAAGGAGGAGCTGCGTGCAGGGGTGTGAGGATGTGCATACCGTAACCGCAACAGTTGCCCTTGCACCCCCTCGCTTTCATCTCGGTCCGTCTGCATCTTCATCATCAAAGCAGGCATGCCTGTGTTTGTAGTGCAGGTCAAGGTCGCGCGACCTTTCGCCAGTGGATGAACTGAAGGTCTTCATGCACCAGGGTGGATAATTTGATTCTGCGTTGTATAAAACTACAACAGTTGTTGATGACCAGCTTCGGTAGAAAATATTCGGTTGGATGCCCCGGACAGCAGCTTGTTGCATGATAAGATGAAGCCAGGTGATGGCCTGGAGACCACGTGCTGCTGCAAAGCATGGGACCATCGGTGTTCCCGAAGGCAATGGAGCGTGTGTCTCATACCATCTCGGTGGCCGTGTTTGCTCATTTGATGTGTTTGGATGTAGACGTGGCTCAGATGCCACAGCACTCCAGACATGGTCGCACGATGCCGCACGGGTTGGACAAGCTCCCTCTTACCCGTTACTTGGGCACAGCATTTAGAGCCTGTGGCTGCAGGTCGCCACGAGAAGCGGTGCCATCCGCCTAGCCAGAGAAGAGGTCGCTGTGATTCCTTTTTGCTGGACTGCCCACTGCCCTGCCCATCTTGGCCAAGCCATCCTGTAGCGAGCATCTCCCATGTAAGCAAGGCTTGCGAACGCTGCGAATGCCTAACCAGTATGACTCCATCAGGGCTGCGGTCGCAGCGGCTTGCCAAAGAAGAGCCGGAGGCTTACAGTAACGCCCTAATTTGTAGTCAATGTGCAACGCGCTGGCGTGCTGTTCATCTTGTTGGCATGTCTGATGCTCTTTGGCTGTTCCAAAGGAACCCCTCATGTCGTATGTACTGTAGCTGAGTTCTCATTAGGTCATGTCTGACTGGCAAGCCAAGCCAGTGCCAGGACAAGCCTTGCGTGCCTGCTTGGCTCGAGAATTTTTGGCGCATGCAGGGGTGAGGCGATACCTTTACTGGAGCTGAGCCGCTCGGTGATTCTGTGAAGCGTGGTGGAATTTGTGGTGTGGATCCAAGCTGCTCAAGACTGCAGTAACCCTCAGACGAACACAATTGAAGCTTGAGTTGTCGGGGCTTGCTGATGCCTAAGAGCCATTACGAGTCTACACGCCTGTCACTCTGCAGCCAAGGCGATGCGCGTTCCACGACGTGTGTAAACGACATGCCCAGGGGTCGAAGAGGCAGCAATGCCAGGAGCAAGAAAGCACAAGTTTGGAAAGTCTTAAACCGCCGAAGGACGTCACACACTGAGAGTTTCCGGCAGGCAGAAAGCGTGCCTCGCCTCGAGTGCCACTCGGTAGCAAGAGTTGGGCGAAGGCGAGGCGATGTTGATGGAATCTCTCAGGTCCATATCCCAGAAGGGAGCTGATGCCTTCAAGCATGCGTGTTTTCGATTGGGGAGGCAACCCACCTGCGAGCCTTGGTGACCAGAGGTCGACAACAGGGCGTTGGTGCTTGCTTCTTGTGTCACTGTCGCTTGGAAACGAGATCCGACATGCCCGCATTTGGACGATGTCACCCGCTTTGATCCTTTGCCCAGGACGTGCTCGCTGATTTACGTGACAATGGTGTGCTCTTGCTGATTCTGGTCGGTTCTGACTTTAAAGATGTTAGTTTGAGGCGTGGCCGAGAATGTGTTCCGCAGCTTCTGAACCGACGATCAATGCATCCCGCGAAAGATGTGGTGGGAGGGTCATGGTCCTGACGTAAACGAATTGACTTCCAGACAAGGCCTTGGTGCTGGACGTGCAGCTCTGCCGGGACCTGGAGCCCTGTCTCATCTTCCTCCGCGAGGCTCCCATGGGCATCTACCAGGCAGGGCTCAGGCGCCTTGGGCGCCTTGCATCTGCTTGGCAGCTTCACGCAGGTAGTGATCTACGATGGCTTCTGGTTCTTCGGGCAGGACGACAACTATCGAGCTGCAAAGCTGCATGCAGCATGATCCAGTCCTCCGGACCTGATGTATCGCGTCCGGCAAAGATGTGTAAAGTTCACGGTTTCAGAGGTCAAGCTCCAGGCTGCTGCGCAGCGAATGCCGCAGGGCATACTGCAGGACCAGGCTGCAAAGACGTGGTCACCCAGAAAATACCCTCAATCTCCGACAATAGAAAGGTGCGGACCCTGTTAAGATGTTGACAGTGCCTGATATTCGATCGACATCCCTAATCAGGAGCGGTGTTTGCCCAAACCACAAAGACTTTTCACCTTAACCGTGCCAGCATTCTTGTCCGCACCCCTGGTCTCGGATTTCTTTCTCCTACCCACGGAAGCCCCTTAAACCGCCTCTTCAGTCCCCGCTTCGGCCTTATCCCCCCAAGCCTTCCCTTAAGCTTAAATTCCCCCATAAGCTGGCCCTTAAGCCCCTGAAGGCTTCTTTGCCCCGACCTGAGCCTCCCCTCAAGCCATGTTTCCCGTGTTCCCCCCAAACCGCATCGTATCCGCCAATCTCCGCCACGTAGCATCCCCCCGAAACCGCCTCGCCTCCCCCGCCCCAAGCTGTGTCGTATCCCCCGCTACCCCGTGAAATCTCCCCTGACTGTACCCCGACGCCCCCTACACCCCAAATCTTGAGATCCTTAACACCACAAAACCCCAAAACCCTGGACCCTAGCCTAACCACAAGGCCTAGGGCCGAGGGTTCAGGGTACGGGGCTGAGGTTCAGCTTTTCAGGATTCACGGACCAAGCACAAGGGTTGAACAGGGCTCACATACTCCAGGTTTCCGAGTGCAGGGACAAAGGTTCAGCCAGGAAGACATCGATGGCGCCTGGTTTGACCCAAACGTCGGGGCACAGTTAGAGGAAACGAGAAGGCGGTTAAAGTTTCGTGCTTGCAATGTGGTTGAGAAATCATTCCGTCGACAATACCGTCATTTAACAACTGTCTTGGCCAGGTTCAGCTGCTGCGCCTCATGCGTGCACTTGCCGCCTTTTGCAATTTGCGCGGTCGTGGCCTAGCAGACCTCTTCCTGCAAGAAGACATGGACGTCACACGACACTTGAGCCAAGAAGCCCCGCCTTTATGACCACAGTTGTCTTTGCAGTAAGTCCTCACATCTCAAAGCCCTGGATCATGGGTGCATGAAGCCGTTAACCTTCAGGCTTCTCTGAAAGCCCCGTCCAAGTACTTCGTCACACCCAGAAGCATACTGCAGACGTTTCCGGTCTTGGGCCGACGGGTCTGCTTACTGTCCCCGTATCCAAGAGGTTTTGGGACGGGCTAGACCTCTGCTGTGGGCTTTGTGGCAGGTGTTGGAGCTCACTGGCCTTCCCTTGGGACGCTCCGCGCATCACAACGTCACGGTGCCACTGTGCCACTGCCTGGCAGCTGCGCCGGCACTGCAGCGGCTGTTGCCCGCAGAAATTGGAACCCTGGGCTTCAGGGTTTTCAGGGCTCGGTATCAAATACTGTTACATAACATGCTTCCCGAAATGTCTCGGACGCGAAGGCACTTGGCCGGCTGTGCTCTGCAAGATCGCGACTTGGCTTCAGCCTTGAAGATGCTTCTTGAAGACATCAAACACTGCACGCGTTCTCCAAGTGGATCTCTGCTGCGATGCGAATCACTGAATCACAGCCCCGACCGGAGTTGTGGAGATGACAAGGCCACGACGGTTGAGCTTCACTCCTGTTAACTCCAGAAGCTCAGGTGGGCTGGCTCAGATTTTGCCATATTTCGGCAGCTTGGATATGGAAAGGCCTAGTCGCATTGTTCATGCGTATGTAACATATTTGCGGCATTGTGCGGGTTCATGTACTGTATGTAATTCTTCACACCCACAAAAGCGGGTACGCACGCTGCGAGGCAAACACATCTGCATCCACGCCCGCTTTATGCTTCCTTTCCTTTTGTCATGTTGCGCTGTCAGCGTACAGTTGATCTGTGACGGCCGTTGACCACCAACTTACATGGCATGCTTTTGAACTTGAACGAGTGCTTGAGCCTTCCAATGATGTCCGGATCCGGGCCTGCAAGCGAAGTATGGATTGAGGAGGCTACGCATGCAGCACATGTATCGGGACCTTGAGGCTTCCAACATCTGGCATACCAGTAGCTGATTTCTCAGCTTTGCATCTCCCGCAAATGTGTCATGTCACACTCGCTTTGAAGCGTTGATCGTTTTCATTCTTAAACCATACTTGTACGCTCAAACGAGCATTTGTCAAAACGCGCGTACTGCCAGTAATACCATGCTCAGCGGCCGGAAGAGCCAAGAACGATCGGTCTTTGTCTTCTCACCGGTTGTAAGGTTGTCGGCCCGAGGTCACGCAAGTACCACCTAGCTGTCGTCCACCCACCTATTAGTCACTTACTACTTTAGTGTAGGGCAGGTGTGATCATGTTGTGGACCCGATTGCGCTTGGAGGTTATTGCTGGGGCACGTGCTCGCCCACGAACATGGCAGCGCAGTAATGCTTCGACATGTTCTGTCTGTGAATGTCCGCATTCATACATTAATTCGCCTTGAGAGGTTACAGTGTGAATTGGTAAAGATCGCAAGTGTGTTGAGGTGAGTGTCATACTGGAGATCAGACACCGATGGATATCTTTTCATGGCAGCATGCAACTTCTCCGAACGACCCTACGAAGCTAGTCCGAAGCCAGAGACCCAAGACAAAATTGCAAGATGGTCGAAGGTACTCGGCTCCCGAAGCTGTCGCACTTATCTTTGGCACAGAATCACCTACGAGATACTTGGCCAGCAATTTGTATCGTAGTGCATGCGGGGGCTGCGAAGCAGAAAAGGCAGCAACGAACGATCGAGGACCTTCGACTGCTGGCTCGTCTGCTGCACGTTCGAGCGCAAGCCCAACAAAAGCAGCAGGCCTTGGAGAGCGCAAGATCAGGTGTGCGTTCAGTTCAGTCCTCCAGCAGATAGCTTGATTCGCGAGTTCATTGTGTTTTAGAGCAGAGAAACGCAGGTGGTGCCACTCAGTGTACTGGACCTTTCCGGCAACCCACTGCTGGGTGCCATTCGCAATTCGCACGAGACTTCATTGAGAGTCTTATCTCGTGCAATAAACACCGGAGAGCTTTTCTGCCGATGACTGTGCTCCAACAACACAGTCGATCCTGTTGTAAGTCAGTGATGAATATGGTCGGTGTTCTGACATGCTAAGTTTGCTTCTATTGTCTTCTTTCACACCTCAGGATTCTGGCGGCGAGACCAGCGTGTTCCCTTGACAAGGGAAAATTTGCTACGCGTTCTTTGCCAAGCTTTGAGATCGGGTCTGCTCATCAAGACCGTTCGTCTTAGGCCGGGCTCTGCCTCGAGCCTTCCGTACAGACAGAAATGACTGCTGCCTCTGAACTGCCTGGAATGATTCGGGCAGGTCCATGTGTCTGCGGCGAGATGATTTGCGACCACTGCTGCAATTACTGCGAAGAGAGCTGGCGCACGAGTACGACGGCTACAACCGCCGCTTCCCTCTGGCTGAGTTGAGTTTGGAAGACAACGACCTGGGCGAGCAGTTCCCGGCTGCCATCGCGAATGCGCTGAGAGAGCTGTCCCCTGTCGTGGGCGTGCGTTGGCCACGCCCTGGGCAATCACAAGGTTTGATGCCAGAGCGGCCTCCTGCCTCTACACGCCAAGGGCATGCAGCTGCGAGAGTTCTTCGGAAGCCAGAGTCGCTGCCAGACTTGTACACCACTGGCAACGACATGCCAGAGCGAGATGCCCTCAGTGAGGGGGATATCGAGGACAATGACGTGTTTAGCTTGAATCTTCGGTCTCGCCGGGAAACCATGCTGCGATTCCGTGAGGAACTCAAGATTCTGTCTACGATTTTAGGGACGAGGGAGAGAGGAGCTAGAGGACGAGACTCCGAAGTCGATGCCCAACATGAGCTGCACGGGGAGTGGCAAACCGCGAGCGAACCTGTCACATTTGCCACACGGGGTTTCGGGCCTACATGTCAAAGATTGGCGAATATGGTCAGCTTGAGCGAATCCGAGGAAAGCGACCGAAGCGGCATTGCTGTTGGTGCCATTCCAGACATGGGTTTAGCATGCGGCTTCGGCCCTCCAGTCCCTCCCGGCTCCTCCTACACGTCGGAGGGCTCAGAGCCCTCCGATCCGCAGAGGCACGCAAAGATGCAGGTCCTTCGAAACGTGATTTCAGAAGGGCGGCAAAGTGACATTCCTACAGATCAGATGATGAGGTTTGCTCTGGATCTAGTGAGCTCAGACACAAGTCTCAATGCTTTGCCAGAGCCCGTGAACAGAGGGGCAGGCGAGCTCTCTAGTCACTTGCCAGCCGATGGGAGCTCCCAAACCGGCGACAGGCCGCGACGCTCGCATTCTGTGTGAGTGCAGCGCATCGGTCTGAAGCCTTGTTGCTAATGCCACAGCCACTGTTCCAAAAAGAGCTGCCTCACCTGACACGCCTCCATAAGTCTGGGCCACTCCCGTCCCTTTAGTCGGTGGCGTGGCCACGAAATCCAAACTCTTTGTCTCGAGTAGGAGGAATAACATCAATTCAGCAGCATTTGTTGTCGGAAGTTGTGCGATGCTGCGTGTGAGAACTAAGGCCGCAAGCAGCCTGGCGGCAACTTGCCATCATATCTGCATGGCCCAGTCAGCAGCTCTCCTCTCAAGGCTCGGAGGGCTCAGAATGCACAAGGCATGCTACCCTCGGCAGCAACGGCCGTGCAGGTTGTCGTGGACGTGCGAGTTGAGAACGCAGCAAGCACACGCAGCTCTTTATGTTTAATTCAGAGCACTGCATCAGGTCCGACGTTGCATGTAAATTACTGCCAAAGCATATGGTTTCCTGCCGCGGTGGCTGCTTTGCAAGGAATTCGAGCACCTCGGCTCTTTTTGTACAGCGCCTCTGAGTGCGTTTCTGCTTAATCGACTCATTATTGTGCGGGACTGACACACCAAAAATCTGCAAGTCAAACACTCCTGCTGCAGCGAATCCTTCGAAGCTGAACCGCGATAGTCAGCACATGGCTTGGACAGCATGCTTTTTATCGCGACTGTCGCTTCGCTTCCGAGCCAGAAAGCTTTTTGGTGGTAGCTAGACGGTGAAGAGTGTGTTCTTCTCGAGCGCGCACCTCATACACGACATGCACGAGGCCACTCCTTGCGTGTCTGTGTGCTGGAAACCTGTTTCGCCTGATGGTCGGTGGGAAAGAGTACACTCCCAATTCGAACCTCCAAACTTGAAGCATCTTCCGCCATTGCAAATGCTGCTTGTGACGTTTTTGGCATTCTTCTGGGGCTCCGTGCTGTGTGGCCTTGTCTTTGGAGTCCGATCTCCGCAGTCGGCTGGAGGACAAGCAGAGGACAGTGCCGGACGGGTTCGCTCAGCTACGCATAGGATTGCGAAGTCTGACTGGCCGCAGAGAAGGGTCGTGTCTTTGCATCTTGCTGCGCCCAGTCAGCTTGCACCTTGGACCGTTGTCATGTGCTGCTCCGATTAGAGGTACACATTGCTACCCTGTTATGAACCAGATCATGTCACCTTCAATGTCCGTTGAGAAGGCGCCGAAATTTGGATTCTGTGTTGCTTGCTGCATTGCAGCTGCCCGGCTGACAGTCTCTGCTGGGTAGAGTAGAGCATCACTCTGTAGGTTGTTGGCGTCGCCCTTGCCAATGCCGCAGCTAACCAGCAAGGGTCTGGAGCCCAACAGCTGGAACGGACAACGAGCCAGCTCAGCCATCCTGAAGGCAGCTCCGCGGTACAGCGTCGATGGTGCCGGCTCCAGCTGGTGCACCCATGCCGTCGAGGCCAAGGCCAAGTTGTTTCGTCCAGCTAGTCTGTGGTGAGCCTGTCCTGTGACCGAGGACGTGCAGCGACGTGGTCGGCAGGGGCAGGGTCTCTTTGTGCAAGACCAGCTTGCCAAAATGTAGAGAGCTGGGGCCTGGACGTCCAGCTCTGCCAAGCTCGAAGCTTCGTGACAGCCCTGACAGCACTGTGGCCCAAGGCCACAGCCAGTCTAAGCTCGTATCGAAGAAGCGCATCATTGCTGAAGATGCTCCGCAAGCGAAAGTAGCTACGACGGCCCTGGGTGTGCGAAGTGCAAGTCCAAGTCCGTTCAGGGTACGGCCTTCAGGCTATGATTGCAAGAGGCGTGCCGTCGCATCAGCAGTGTGGGCTGCCAAGCTTGGAGCGGAGAATGCAATCCGCCTTGTCAGTACCAGATTGCCACAGAGCGCCGTAGCAAAACAGCAGAGCAGCTGAACAAGTCCAATCCACCTGCCTCTTGCCAAGAGGGAAGGTTCGCTAAACAATGGGAGAGCATTTTGGGTGGATGGCGAGACCCCATTCGTCGTGACCTAGCAAGCTTTTAGAGCATTGTTTGTAAAGCACTGGCTGTTGCTTTGTCTGCTTGGTTCTGACTTACGGAGGGTTCGTCATCATCTAGTTCCGCGGGAAACCATGAATGTGGGCAAATCATGGTTGAGGACAGCTGGGCAAGGCATCGATGAGGCAGGCACAACCGTTGAAATCTGGTCTAATGATGAAGCCACCTCCATGCTAGAAGGCCGACGATGTTCACCCAGCTGGCCCGTTGTAAACCCAGTGACGTGACAAGCACGATCACCGGAATTACTGGCACTAGTAGACAGAAGCAGTGCGGGCCCTGCTCTCAACAAATCCTCGAAGAGTCGAAGCAGGAGCTGAGAAGTGTTACCCGCACGCTGCGCGTGGACTTAAAGAGTCAATGCTCGATTCGTCGAGCCTGGCATGCAGCGTCTAGAAGTAGCTTGTGTCTCCCAACAGTTCAGCTCGCCACTGGGAGTTCAAATCCGCTCCACAACGCATGTTAACTTGCATCTTCGTCCAGCCTTGCCAAAGACAGATGCAGGCAGCCAGCGTTTGCAACCATGCATTCCAACAATTAATTGGTCTGGTAATAACAATACACTTAGCATCGCTCAGGTCAGTGTATCCAGTTCCAAGCGGAGTCGGCACAGTACTAGTGGTTGGTAGCCTTAAAGAATGCGACAACACCGGCCAATGCCAGTGTGCAATGTGGAGGTTGCTGACCTTGCTTACGCTGTCAGCGTGGAAGGCTGGTAAGGCACAGCTCCCGATAAGCTCCAGCAGACCACGGCTGTATAGTTGATTGATTTCCTGCAGCTGCTTCCATCCTGACAGACAATTGCTCGGCGCCAACCTTGCATGCTGAGCGCTGTTGTGGCTGCTCGGTGTAAAGCAGGGGCAGAGCTGCATGGGTTGGAGCTGCGAGTGTGGTTATGTAAGGCACGGGATGGCAAAGGTTTCGAGTGTGGTCTTGAAGAGAATCAGCACCTTTGTGCATTGCTGCCGGTCATGGACATGGCCATCAACAAATCATTAAATGATGCGTGCCAAGTTGGTGGTACCATGGCTGGCCTTCGCAAAGATGCCTGCCGAGCGCAGCCCAGAGGCCGTGACACCGTGCTGTGTTTTTGATGTCAAGCTACATCAGAGACACGTGTGCTGTTTCTTGCCTTTTAGCAGGCGGCCGAACGCAGGCAGTACGGAGACCTCCTTCGCTTGGTGAAGAAGCGTGCTTGGCCAGCTCGCCCAAAACATTTTTCCGGCGGTTGTTGAGTGTCTTTGAACCCCGTGCCAATGGCGAGGCCTCAAAAGATCCCGGAACTTGCCACTGACAAAATCGGAGTGGACGAGGCAAAGCATTGAAGCTGCCTTGTCAGATGCGTTCCCGCGGTTTTTTGCACAGGCTGCAGATGGTGAAGACAGGCGTTCGCTGGTCTCCCCGGGCTTTCGTCGGATTCGGTTTCGGGCCGCATATGCGGAGCGCTCAGGTTGCAAGCGGAAGAATGGGGCAGGCTTTTTGTATTGCAGTGAGGATGGAAGTCAGTACAATGGCTGGGCCAGGGCTGGGCTCTTGCCAACCGGAAGCACGAAGCCTCTGGTCAAGTTCACCCGAGAGGTCAAAAACGCATCGCCGCTGACAGTAGCAGGAATGGTCGACCGCTGAGCGCTCAGGGAACAAATCGATCACCTATGAGCGATTGGCTTCAGCGCAGTAGGTGCTGTCTCACTCCTTCTGCGGCGAAAGACCTTCAGCTGCGGAGCAAGCAGGACTTGGCCTTGGTCGTGTGGAACCCTGAGATGTCTGGCTGCTCCAGGACGGATGCCGGTGTGCATGCACAGGGGCAGGCCAACTTACGGGCCGTGCTTGTGCTGGGCTACCGATGGCTACTGGGAGGCAGCACACTTCGACGTCCCCGACTGGATCGCGACCGAACGGCGAGATGATTGGCGGGCGGGCGGGCGTGTAAATGACTTTCGGACTGAAGCCATAAGAGGAGTTTCAACCGATGCCCTCTCAGAGCTATTCGTCTTGACATGTAAAGTTTTCATGTCTTTCCCAAGAGAGCATCAGCATGCATCAGCCAAAAGCTAGATCTATCTTCCATGATGTCTGGCGCATGGGACTTGGCTGCCAGGCATCGTGGGAGCAGGCGGTAAACGAGCAGGCCAGAGGCAGTTGCTGGCAGCGTTGCAAGCGGATCAAGCGCAAGCTGGGAAGTTCGACGTTTCCATCCCTGTCCCAGTTGCCGTCAGACATACGGGTTTGGACCCTTTGCAGCAAGTGTTATCGACACTGGTTGCGGTTATTTCAAGACGGTCGATGTTGGTTGTTGACACCAAGGAACTTCCAGGATGCCCCTCCCGACTTTCACGCCACCTTCTCCGCCAGCGGTAAGACATACGTGCTCACCCTTTTCGGCCATGATTTTTGCCATGCAGGCATGCTGATGCCACTTGCAGGTCTATCGCCTCCACTACGGATACAATGCAGCAGATCCACTGGAAAGGCCTTCCCTAATCAATCACAGTTTGTAGATTTTGTAGCCGGAGGCAGTGGGCTGCAGAGAGGCACGAATGCCTCATAATGCCTCGTTGCAGGTTCTACAGGTACCAGATACCCCATGGCTGGGCAGGGCGGACACGCTTCCACGGAATCCTGCCTGTGGCATCTGCGGGCAACGCCAGGCACGAACTTTCGACAGTGACCTCCTCCGGCAAGCTGCTTCAAAACTTGTCGGCGAGAAGGACTTCGCGTGCGCTCACGATTCCGCTTCAAAGCCCGTTTCAGTTGGAGTGGGCCGCAACCAGGGTTGTAAAGCTCGGAGTCATGTCTATCCACTTCGGATATAATTGCTGCATACTTTCGGATGGTGTGCTGGCCCGTTTCATGCCACAAAGCAGCACGTTCCGACAAGCAGCTGCAGCGAAGTGCTGCTGTTGTTTCAGGGAGGCATGGTGGGTTCGGATTCCTTCACTTGCAGGTGACCTTCGTTCAAACCCTGCACGGGGGCCCCTGTGCAAAACTGGAGAATGGAATGGCACGACCCGGCATCCGACGATAATTGCAGATGCCAAGGTCTTATTCCTCCTTTGCACGGCTGTGCTAGTCCATGCACTTGCTTGGATGCTAGTCACCTGCCGACGGTTTGAAGCTGCGGTGAAGCATCTGTGGTCACAGGTACTTTACGCAGGCAAGCAAGCTGGACAAGTACAGGACATGTGGCTGATAGCTTCTCTTGCTCGAGACTCCGGCCTTGCGAAGGATGTCAGGCACCGTTAGAACCATCCATGGCATAAATGTGGTACTGCCGACATGGTGCCCAAGTTCCTGTCGACGGAAATATCTGGGGATGTTGAGCTGGGCATTATGCCAGGTTGAGGATGGTCCTGGGCGGTGTCGGATTGAGGTGACGGTCTGATGGTCATCGCTGGAGCTGAACCGGTTTCGTGGCTGCAAGGTCAACTTGGACGGTGCCATATACAGAATGGTTCGAAACATCGTTGGGTGCATCGCGCTGACCCTAGCAGCCACCCTCGCAAAAGCTCGCAGCAACTGTCGCAGAAGAGTTTCAGCAATAGAACAGTGGTGATTTTCGATGGATTTGTCGCATGCATGCACTGGCTAGGGCCGTCTCAGAGCGGCATTGAATGTTTGGACAAGTCTACGGCGGAATTGTGCACTGCAAAGCATTCGCCCAATGCCCAGCGTTTTGCAGGTGATGGCGGCGTGCGGCCGCCTGGCACTGGAGCGGATAGACGAACTGCTTCAGGCCAAAGTTGGGATGAGGGACATCACGAGCACGGTGCACTCCGCATGATAGGTTCCGCCTGACAAAGCAAAGCAGGAGAGCTGTGGTAAGTCTGAAGATCTGGCATAGCATCTGAAGCATTGGACTTTGCGAAAGCAGATTGCAAGGAGACTTCTGTTCCGGTAAGTGCTTTTCCATGTGGCTTGACTGCAAAATGACAGCGCTGTCTCGTGCCAAGAGCACTATCTGAATCCAGAAGAGGCTTGCCTCCTCACGGCCTTTGCCTCGAGAAGGCGGAGAGTTCACGAAGTGTTCTTCGCTTCAGCTGTTCCTTTCATGGCAGGTGCATTATGACTCGCAGGACTTCTGAGCCTAGGACTTGTGCCTTGACACCAAGGAAAAGTGCGCAACCTATGTTGACAAAGGGAGACTGAGGAACAATATGGTATATCAAACTGATTGATAATATTGAGCGCCATCAAAGACCTCAACAAATTGTGCGAAACTTCGACTCTGATACGATTATTTATATCTACAGCATACCAGTACATACGATGGAGACGGACTGCATGGAAAACTATTCGCTCTGATATTCATTGAAAAAAACTCAGTAAGAGCCAGCAATCGTTTGACCAGTGCGTTGGGATATAGGTGCGAGAAATGATCAAAAAAATTGAAGCTTTGGAGATTAAACACTCTACGACATCTGGAAAATTGGGAAACTAAAATAAGAATATACATCTTTATTGGAATATAAGATTCTATTCTAATGAATTTTTTGATATAAAGGAGGTTTAAAGAGAGAAGATGCAGTTTAATTTTAAGCTAGATATTGTAGAAAAGAATATTTGTAATTTGTCGAATTATATATGGAGATAATATTATAAAAATGACGATTATTATTATTATATAAGAATCTGAATGATACGAATTTCTTGAGCCTTTCTTATTGTCTTTCTTTTCGTTTAGTGATATATTTTCCGAAGATATTTTGAATTAGATGATGATTGAAATTGATAAAAAATAATGGAAATAAAGACGAATATATATTAGAAAATAAAGTCTCTGATAAAATGGTGTTGTATTGGTCGTTTCGTTTTTTTGTGGGCGCCTTTAGCCCTTGGTCTTGTGTGTTTGTTTCGCGATATTAAAATTTCGAAAATT